TACTTGAAATAAGACGATAAAATAGTTTTTTCTTATTTTAAAAGGAAATTGTCTTGTTCCATTGGCAAAGTGTCTTACTTACCTCCTCAAATCAAGGAAAAACACACTTATTTTAAGAAAAAATAACTTATTGAGATTTATATTTTTTGCAGTGCGGCCTGGACAAGTCGCCTGTCCATCATAGGGAAACTTTAACAATTAACCTAACAGTCATGCTGAAAGACCCTGAGCCGGGAATCAAACCCAGAACCTTCTTGCTGCAAGGCAGCAGCGCTTCCCACCGTCCCACTGAGCAGCTCCACACATAAATGTTTGTGTTTTTAACAGGAAAAAATGTGGGAAACTTTCAGGGATCAAAATACTTTATTTTTCTACTGCAGTAAAATAAAAATGACACCTGATTAAAAGCTGGTTTATCTTTGAAATGGACAAAAATAAAAAATATAGAATTAGGAATCTGGTATAGAGAGCTTTTAAACTGTTTTTGGATACTAAATTATCATATGATCATTTCATTTTTAATTTGTAATCAGAGAAGCAAAGCTATATTTGTATAAATAATTTATTGCTAAAGATGTTTCCTTATTTCCAAAGTTAAAGGTGTTTCTATCTGTGGGACTTTTCTATATTGTATTAATAAGGAAATGACAAACTTAAACACAGTGAGGTTTTTTAATAACATCCCATCCAACGCTGCGTGGAGGAAATTAAAAGATCTTGTTTGTTCTGTCTACTCAACAGATCAGTTTCAATCACACATAAATGTTAATGTTCTGGTTTTGTTGGCTTTTACTTCCCTCTCTTCCCTGGCAACCGTATTTTCAACAGACTATAACACAGCGCTGTGGCGGTGCAGTAGATGTGTTATCTGTTAACGTCCACCATCTTACTCTTAGTAGACAGACTTTAAAACTAAAAATTCCGCCTGTGACCGCAAATATATCAATCTATCTATGCAACCCTCTAAAAACATATCTAATTACTTCACCCCATATTTATTTATACATGAAGTAAAGTAATTAGTGAAAATCTTATAATAATTAGTCTTCATTACTTAATTCTTAACTTTAAATGTACTTTAAATATCTAATAAAACATTTAATTATTAAATTGTGCATTCTCCAAATTAATAGTTATACATAAAGAAGAATACAGTTTATATTTGAATGATCAATTACCTAATTATATAAAAAAAATTACCATTTACCTTTTACATTTATTTATTTATTTATCAGTTTATTTATTTATATTTATCATTGAAATGGATGTATTTCTTGATGTTTCTTTTGGCTTTCCGTACACCTCAGGGACGCCATCGTAATGATTGTAAATCCCTCCACTTGGTGTCCTCTGTTAGTAACATTTTTATTGGTCAGTATGAGGGTTTGTTTTGGGTTTGAACAGAAGCACCGCAACAATCAATAAATAATATATTTGTCTGATTTACAAATTTTTTTTGCTGCAATTCCAGAGACTTGTGAAATAAAGACAGGAAACTGAGGTATAATTTTAAACCTTTCAGCAGAAGTTGTATTTTAGAGACCCCAGTGGGCCTCAGCAGATGGCCGCTCACACTGAGCCTGGTTCTGCTGGAGGTTTCTTCCTGTTCAAAGGGAGTTTTTCCTCTCCACTGTCGCTACAAGCATGCTTAGTGTGAGGGATTGCTGAAGAGTCAATGAGTCGATGCAATCAACTGCTTTTCCTTAGATAGAAAACTTTGAATCAATGCAATTGTGTTCTGAATTGGAGTTTTTTCTGTCATTTTAATGACAGAAAAAGACAAAAGTGCTGGAATGCATCACACACAGCCCCCTTCCCCCGCCTGTTGCTGGGTACTGTTCATCTGGCTGAAAGAAGGGAGATTTATTTTAATTTTTAAAAAGCTGGTACTTTTTTTATGACAGCATAATAATGATGAACATTTTTTAATTAAAATGTCTAAATGATATATGGTTATAGCAAAGAGAAATAAAGATAAACTTTCCAGTTCACCAGATCATCCAGTCAGATTGATTCAAAGTTTTCTATCTAAG